TAGTTGTTGATAATTTGGTGGGCGGTCAATTGCAGTTGTTCCTTGGTACTTGAATACTATTTGTCTGATGACAGACAAACAGAATTCGCCGTACTGTGGTTTGTTTCTGGTCCTCATCTTATACATGTTATAAGCATTGAGCATGGAAATGTCCAGAAGATGGAAAAAACAGTTTGATGTACCACTTAAAAACTCTTGCGAACACAATCAGCAAACCCAATCTGCATGTCACATTTGTCCACTGAACGCATGTTGAAGGTGTAATCAATCACAGCTGCAGGTTTTAGAATGGGTTCATTGCTCTCTCTATGCTGCCTGCCACTGTCTGCCATTTCATTTGGGTGAACTGATGACAACAGTGTGACATCTCGTTTGTCATGCCACCGAAATGCCATGATGTCATTGGCAGCAACGCCTGCACCTCACCTCTACGAGTGCCAGCGTCAAACCTGGGCATATGTTTCTGATTTGCATGCACTGTGCCACACACATCTGTCATGTTCACTCGCAAAAAATCACTGAGTGAGGGGCTTGTGTACCAGTTATCTGTATATAATATATGCCCCTTACCAAGGTATGGTTCTATCATTGTTCTAACCACATCACCTGAGATGCCCAATAACTTCCTGGTATTTTGCAATGTATAACTTCCAGTGTACACAATAATATCCAATACCAGACCACTGTAACAATCACAAAGCACAAACAACTTTATACCAAAGCATTTCCTCTTGCTTGGTATGTACTGCTTGAGAGTCTTCCTTTGAACAGAATCAAAGACTCGTCAATTACAAGCTTCCTGAAGGGAAAAAAAATGCGCACTGAATTTCTCTTTCAGATACACAAACACATTCCTAATCTTATATAACCTGTCAGTTCTGTCAGGCCTGGTTTTGTCTGAGAAATGAAGCATACGTAACATTAGCACAAATCGATTCACTGGCATTATATCACTGAAACCTGGGGTTGCAATCAGGCGGTCTGTTGACCAGTATGATTCCACTTTGTGCTTATACACGTGGCAAAAAGCATTATTGCGGCAAAGAAAAGATACATCTCAGCCACAGTTGCCTCCTTCCACTGGTGTAGATGTGATTTTGGGTTTGAAAGTAATGTGTTTGCCATGGTGTACTCGTAGTATGTGTTGCTTTCCATGACAATACTTTCCATCAGTGGTTCGTCAAAGAATAACTCGAAACATTCCAGTTCAGTGGCATTGTTCCCAAGTGTACAAGATGGGCGTATTCCACTTTGGCTGTCATCAAACTGGTGGGCATTTGGAACAAAATTGACAGCTTCCTGCCAATCCCAGGTGCGGTCTGCTGGTGGGTACTGGACAATGACAGGTGGTTATGGTTGTGGAGGTTGTGGTTGTGGAGGTTGTGGTTGTGGAGGCTGGTGTGGTGGGTGGGTGGGGGATGATGGCCTTTGTTGTAGATCAGCTGAGGCAGAGGCGTGGGGGGCAGCGTGGGTGGCAGCATGGCCCACTGCTGGTGCCTCACCGCCGGCACCACCACCACCACGCACATTTTCCATCCCAATTGCAACAGTATCATCGTCATTTTCACTCTCTGTTCCTGTTGTACAGCCACGGGATGTACTCCGAGATGCACTCCTTTCCCTTGGAATAGCACATGGCACACTACCAGAGCGCATATATCGTCGTATATACTGACGCTTCACTGGGGAATATTGCACTTCACTATCACTACTGGAACTAAATTTGAAGAGCTTGTAGTTTTATATTCACTATCACTATCATCACCCATGCTCTCATCTGAGTCTGGGATTTGGGAAAATAGAAGTTTCCTCTTGGATTCTGGTACAACTGAACGTGAACAAGACGGCCCAGCACCAGAGGTGGAAGGCTGAGGGTCGTCTGGGTTTTCCTCACTATTACCGATATTATGGTCATTAGTTTCGGTCAAAACCTCACCAAAACCTTGAAACTCATCTTCACTGGCACTTCCATCTGTATTAGAACTGTCACTGGGGAACAAAAGTGTCCCAATTCGCCGAGGAGTGAGAAGCTTCTTACCGCGAGGCATGGTGGACATTGTTTACTAAGATGGTGTTCCCACAATGCACCACTGGTCCCAGATTTTTTTTTCTACCGCGCACACCGACCACACAGACCCATTCTCTCACATGTAGGCCTACCAGCCTTTTCCCGCGAGATTGACGGCGCTAGAATTTGTGTGTACTAGTACGTCAAAAACCCCTACGCCTAAGACGTACTAGTACGTCCGAAACCCTCAAAGGGTTAATCTCTTTTTTCAATTCCATACTAATTCTCGCCCTTTTTACCACAGGGATGGCACTAGAAGCTTTCTTGGGGTACATGGTGACTTATTTTGCAGTTACAAGCGCTAAAAACACTGGGATAATGTGAAATGTACCGAATGTATGCGTAGATGTGACCGCACTGGCTGGCTTATAAACACTGGCGCTGAGGTCACACATGGGATGCGACCCAGACTAATCATGTAAGGCGAGTTTTTTATCGTGAGGCGAGGCAAAATTTTTGCGTTCAAATGCTTCATATGGCAGGGGCCCACTGTATTCTTAAGTCGATGGCCATTTCCTACCAAGGCAGGATGACCCAAATATAATAACATTCACCATCATTCATTCAATCGCTGCCGCATGAGAAGCATGATGACATCAGATTACCCTCCAACTGCAACATCCCCATTCTTTCTTCAGAGTGCAGGCACTATCCTTCCCACCCCCAGGACTCAAGTCTGGCTAACCAGCTTCTCCAAATCCTTTCATAAAATTACTTTGCTCACACTCCAGCAGCACTTGTTGCCATTCGTTGCTAATACGCTCACACAACACACAAATATGCTGGATGCTCAAGCCACTAAAACTCAAAAGTATCTTTTACCCCCTCCCTCCAATTGTTTCTAGGATAATCCCTAACTATATCCCTTTCCATCCTCTCTACATGTCCAAACTACCTCAATGACCCCTTCTCAGCCCTCTAGATGAATTATACCCTTGGTGACTACATAACCTATTAATTTCTACTCTCCGAATTCTCAGCACGATATTTACACCAAACATTGCTCTTAAACTTGACATCTCAGTTACCTGTCTCCTCCCTTGCCCTTTACCAACTATACCTAAATTATTTAGAGAGTAGGACAAAATTATTGCATAGAAATATGCAGTAGAAGTTATGCATAGCAAAGTATAATAAACCTAGATAGGTATGGATGACAGGATACAAATGCATACACTTACGACATCTTTACTGAATACATTTCAGTCCTGGGGCCTTGGTCATTTCAAATGAGTTTGGCGTGACCAAGGTACCAGGACTGAAATGTATTCAATAAAATTAAGAGGTACTGTTGGGCCACAGTAAACCATAGATACCTAATCATTGGATATGGGGGTTCTACTGTATATATAGTCAACACAAGAACCACTTTCTTAATATAGACAAAGGGCTATTAAAGTACACTTTAATTTATTAAATACCTGTGGGAGCTTATGGGTGCCAGTGTGGTGGAAATGTGGAAGCCGGGCACCTGTGTTTGCTACTCGCATCCACCCAGTCCTGCACTCCAACACAAATATTGTTATCTGTCATTAAAAGTAAATACTGTACTCAATAAAATCTGTCTAGGAAAACTTCATCAATTAAATGTTAAAGTACTCATAGTCTATGCATTTTTATATCAAATTCAACTATCAACATATTTAAGAAGCTATGGGGGTGTTACGAAGCTAGGAGGGGTGTTAATGTTGCAATTTTATAACTGTAGTGTAAAGCATCCCTCTGGCAAGACAGTGATGGAGTGAATGATGATGAAAGTTATTCTTTTTTGGGCACCCTGCCTTGGTGGGAATCGGCCAATGTGTTAAAAAAATAAAAAAAATAATCTATCAGCCTTATTATTCTTGCTTCTGCAATGATTAGAACAAGGCAACATACCCTCACAGAGATAAGAGAGACTGACTAAAATAATTATTACAGGTTATCTGTTAAGGTTCTGGGGATTATCTTCCCCATGGCCTGATCTCAGATCAGGCCTCCTAGGTTGAAAAAGAAATATTACAGGATTAAAACCTACTCACATTCAATATACTATGTATATTGGATGTAAGTATTAGTTTGTAAGAATTACCTTTCATCTTATGAGTTCATGAGACTAAAAGAAATGATCAGTAATCCTGCTCAAGTGCAAAAAAAAAATTAAAGGTTTCTAATTCACACATTTGAGATGAATGGACTGACTTCGTGCTATAATTTCCAGTTCTTTACTCAATCAATAATATAATCTGGTAGAGCAACATGAAAGCAGGTTTTTTTTTTTTTTTTTGTACCTCAGTGGTCGTCTCCAGAGAAGAAAACACATTCACTGTCATGCATTCAATCGCTGTCTGGTATGTAAGTGGGTCAGGAAACCCTGCCTTAATCAATGCAACTTGCTTATGGTGGTTAAAAGAACATGTGAAATCCACATTATGCAGCCATTACAGTATGTGCTCCAATTTTTTTCTACTACCCCCTACAGACTGAGTTTCAGATGCATAATTAAAAGTATTAAATAAACATGAACTCCAGTATGGTACAAGAATATACCGCATGTAGAGTATTTTAAAAGTACCTTGTCAAGTCTAATAATGAAATGAAGTTCAGAACAATAAGAAAAAATTGTGCTAAAGAAACTAAAATAGTTACCCCTTAAACTTTAGAAACTACTCATAAGTAGAGAAAGATTGCTGAAGCTTAAATAGTGAAAGCAACACTGATTCAGGCAACTAAGAAGATAAGTTAACTTGTGAAACACTGGAGCTACACAATGCTGTAAGAAAACTAGTAATTATAGTGAAGATGTTAAAAATAATACAAACAGAAAATAAACATAGCAAATCTGATTAGACAGCATCAGTTAAATATTGAGACTCAAACTCAAAATTCTAGATGGAAGTCAATTTGACAACAGTATTCTCATCCAGAGTAATTTCAAAATCTATGAAAACAACTTGATGACTAGGCTGACAATGCGTGTGCTCTCTGAATACATCTTTGGGATTCTGACAAGTCCTGTTATTTGAGTAACGCTCACAACTGGGGAAAATGAAGACTGAATCAGTATTATACAAGATGTTATAGGCTGTCAACAATCAGGTTTGATATAAAACTTGTTTAAACCTTTATACCCTTAAGGAAAAGATATCTGGGACAAACTCAAGGAAAGGATATCTGGCAGGTAATCAGAACTCTAATTACATAAAGCACTGATGCAATCTGTGCACAGTATTTTGGTTTCAATGTATCTTATATACAAGCAAGGAATTTCCATTTTACTTCCGCTAGTCTATATTTTTGTCACTAATGAGTTTTATTTTTTTTTTTTTTCTAACAAGTCGGCCATCTCCCACCGAGGCAGGGTGACCCAAAAAAGAAAAAAAATCCCCAAAAAGAACATACTTTCATCATCATTCAACACTTTCACCACACTCGCACATTATCACTGTTTTTGCAGAGGTGCTCAGAATACAACAGTTTAGAAGCATACACATATAAAGATACACAACATATCCCTCCAAACTGCCAATATCCCAAACCCCTCCTTTAAAGTGCAGGCATTGTACTTCCCATTTCCCTTAATCCCTTCACTAAATATTACCCTGCTCACACTCCAACAGATCGTCAGGTCCCAAGTACCATTCGTCTCCATTCACTCCTACCTAACACACTCACGCACGCTTTGCTGGAAGTCCAAGCCCCTCGCCCACAAAACCTCCTTTACCCCCTCTCTCCAAACCCTTTCGAGGACGACCCCTACCCCGCCTTCCTTCCCCTATAGATTTATGTGCTTTCCATGTCATTCTACTTTGATCCATTCTCTCTAAAATGACCAAACCACCTCAACAACCCCTCTTCTGCCCTCTGACTAATACTTTTATTAACTCCACACCTTTTCCTAATTTCCGCACTCCAAATTTTCTGCATAATATTTACACCACACATTGCCCTTAGACAGGACATCTCCACTGCCTCCAACCGTCTCCTCGCTGCTGCATTTACCACCCAAGCTTCACACCCATATAAGAGTGTTGGTACTACTATACTTTCATACATTCCCTTCTTTGCCTCCATAGATAACGTTTTTTGACTCCACATATACCTCAACGCACCACTCACCTTTTTTCCCCTCATCAATTCTATGATTAACCTCATCCTTCATAAATCCACCCGCCGACACGTCAACTCCCAAGTATCTGAAAACATTCACTTCTTCCATACTACTCCTCCCCAATTTGATATCCAATTTTTCTTTATCTAAATCATTTGATACCCTCATCACCTTACTCTTTTCTATGTTCACTTTCAACTTTCTACCTTTACACACATTCCCAAACTCATCCGCTAACCTTTGCAATTTTTCTTTAGAATTTCCCATAAGCACAGTATCATCAGCAAAAAGTAACTGTGTCAATTCCCATTTTGAATTTGATTCCCCATAATTTAATCCCACCCCTCTCCCGAACACCCTAGCATTTACTTCTTTTACAACCCCATCTATAAATATATTAAACAACCATGGTGACATTACACATCCCTGTCTAAGACCTACTTTTACCGGGAAGTAGTCTCCCTCTCTTCTACACACCCTAACCTAACATAAAGCAAAATACTATTTATATCCTGTGTGAAAACTAAAATTTCTACCTAACATAAAGCAAAATACTATTTATATCCTGTGTGAAAACTAAAATTTCTTTCTTAATTACAGCGTTTCTTTTTATTTAGCATACTGTAGATTTTTTGTGCAATCAAATTAAAAATTTCACAGGCACCTTATACATAAACACAAGACATCACACAGAGCTTTTCTTTTAGAATCATTTCATTTATTTTAAGTTAATTTAACTGTCACGGTTAAAAAAAAATTTACAATACAGATATGCTATATCCAACCATCCCATAAAAAAACTGATCAAATTGATACATAGTAGCTTAAGTTTTTTTTTTAACATGCTGGCTGTCTCCCACAAAGGCAAGGTGACCCAAAAAAGAAAAACACTTTCAATATCATTCAATACTTTCACCATCATTCACACATAATCACTATCTTTGCAGAGGTGCCCAGACATGACAGTTCACATGTCACTCTCCACAACAGCCAATATCCCAAACCCCTCCTTTAAAGTGAAGGCATTGTACTTCCTACCTCCAGGACTCGTGTCCAACTTAAGTTATATTTCTGTGAGTATTTGTTCCTTCATTATTTATTTCTTCCTCCCCTCTATGTTCTTGCTCCTACCCTCTGTGGGCCCTTAGCTCCCTTGCAGTGCTCCTCTTTCTTAGTATTTGACTGGCTTCACCTCCATACTACCTTCCCCACTACCACCCTCTACCTCCACTACCACCTCCTGGCCCATATATACTCCCTCCTCCTCTCCTTTTCGTTAGTGTGACTTTGTAAATGGTCCAAGTCAGACCAAAACGTCGTCATAAGCTCCTTTCTTCTATGTGTGGGTTATTTGTGTAACATGCTCATGCTGGCAGTCCAGGCCCCTCGCACACAAAACCTTTACCCCCTCTCTCAAACCTTTCCTAGGCTGACCCCAACCCTTCCTTCCTTCCACTACAGATTAAGTGCTCTCCAAGTCATTCTATTTCATTCCATCCTCTCTGAATGTCTGAAAGATATTTAAACAAATAACAGACAGCACGTAAGTAGCTTTTGACATGCACATTTTAACTGGAACATGCAAGTCATGTCATTTATGTATTAAATGGAACATGCAAGTCATGTTTATGATTGTCATTCTGACAAGCATAGAGAGCACCTGAATGTTATAAAACTTCACGTCAAGTAGACTTTTACACCAACAAAGATACTGTACACACAACAAAACTGAGTTTAACCTTTTCATGATACTACATCTTTAGGAGAAAGAACATTGAAAACATAAGAGATGCTGAAGTGCAAGAACTATAAAACAGTAGAGAACTGAATGTTACGTAACAATATTCTTAAGTTATCTACGTAATGTTTGAAGTTCATAATGCATTACTTACCAACATCCTATACTATGGGAAACACTTGCTGATGTATGTGCTCTTGATGTACGAGGTTGATCTGATATCCTAGGCCACAGAGAAATTTGCTGATGACATCTTTGAGTCATTTCACTACTTCTTTCAAAAATGGGATCTTCTGGTAAATCATAAGGATATCTAGATAACTGTGGATGTTTCTTAAGTGGTACTGCTGACATACTATGCAAGTTTTGGCTACCAATATAATCTGTGTGCCCTGAAGCAGAACAACATACACCACTACACTTCACAGCATTGGGAAATGAAGATCTTGTCGGATGTCTTTCACAGGGAACTGGACTGGAAGGACTGAAGTCTTGGTGTCTTGTACGCCATGTTGGCTGTTTAGTATCTAAGTAGCTTACCGGGAAGACTGACTCATTAGCAACAACATTAGGCTTAACATTCTGTGTCATGTGTAAATTCATTGAAGTATCTAATGAAGCATCCTCTTTATTAAAAAGACATAATGTTGGGGCTGTGACATGACCCACTTGTTTAAACTGGCCACTAGGATGACTATATTTATCCACTGCTAGGCCAAGTACCTGCTCTTCTCTACTGGTTAATTGATACTTTGGGTTGGAGGGTTGCTCATATGAAGCACAACAACAAGCTGGAGGAAATGGCTGGCATTCTGATGGAAAATGTGATAAAGTGGAACTTGCTGCACCTACACTAGATGAAAGTAAAAGGCCTATTGAAGAGTCTAGTGTTAAGTTAGACTGTGATAAGGGAATTTCTGCAACCATTTTTATTCTCTCTCTTCCAGCATTACTGGTATTGACAACAGGAAAAATGGATTTGCTTATATTTTCCTCTTTACCTCTACACTCAGGATGTGGAAATAAATTTTCTCCATAGTCTTTCCCTTTTAGAGAACCTTTTTTCTCATACACACAGTTAGTCCTAATGTTTGTTGGAAGGTCAAATATGCCTTCAAGAGAAGAATGAGATATAATTTCAGATCCTATGTTATTAATGTTTTGAGGAATGCAGTCTTTAGTAAATGTACAATGCAATGAACTGTCTTCCTTACTTGGATTAGTATCTCTCATCTGTGGCAACTTAGACTGTTTTCTCACACTTTTCTAAAAAATGAAGAGCATCCACTACAACTGTTTGAGGGCACTCAGAATCACACACAGATTTCAGTAGTGGTGTCCACATTTTCTAATCTTTCTGGATAACCTGACTTGTTTCCCTGAAGCAAAGAGGGTATTTTATTTTCAAGTATGTTTTCTTTATGGCAAACTGTTAAATCTTTTCTTGAATCTTCAAGAAACACAGAATCAGATTTTGATGTAATGGCACCACTGTTGTCATCAGAAGACTTTAAATCACATAAGCTTGTGCATTGATGACTAGTGTCAGTTAAGTCCACCTTACCACTTAAGCATTTTGGTGCCCTATTTTGCAGCGTCATCTCATAACGCCTCAAGAGGGCACAAGGACTAACGATGGTTGTGCCAGGGCACAATGAAATATTCATGGATGGTTGTGGTTCAGACATTTCACCTTTATGGTGATGAGGCAGTTCTAATCCTTGACTTAATTTCAAATACTCAGTAGATGAAGGTGTTTTCATGACACTAAAAATTGGAACAGCCTTTCTGTTTTTATTCTGATCATCACCTGTGAATAAAGTTAAAAATATTAAATTAACAAAATTTAGTAACAATTTTGGTGTCAGTAATACAACATATGCAGAAACAGCAACAGGATTGTCATAATGTAAAAATCAACAAAAACTGGATTAGCAAAACTAAAACTGTAATCTTAAATAAGACATTTCTACAGAAGGGGCTCTAGAACATGTCATGCCTATTCCCTACACTGATAACATCTACTGTTTGCTATTATGTTCAGTATAGATTCCCTTGCCTCTGCTCTCCATTCATTCATTGTTGCTGTTGAATAAATGCCAGCTGACAATGACACTCAGTTTTAGGCTGATACCAATACCCTCAAAATTAGTTAATACATACCCCCAATACCGATACTCTGGCATACCCCTAAATGGTCCCTTCACTTAGTCATTACTGGGTTTTTTTTAATATCTACACGTGTCATAACACATTCTTATAAATTAAAAAAATTATCTAATGTACTAAAGACTATTTTAAATCAATTTCGAACATATAATATCATTTATAGCTGAACCTCACCTGAGTTTGCTGGTCTTTTGCTCATACCATTGTCATTCTGAGACACAAGTACAAGTGATGACGAACCAGTGCCCTCGTACGATATCCTATCTTCAGCACTACACGAGAAAAAAAAAAAGTAATTAAGGGGTAACAATCTCCCCCTTCCCCCCAAAAAATAACACATGGCCATTTCCACTGAGGCAGGGTGACCTGAAAAAGAAGAATCACTTCCATCATCACTCAGTCCATTGATGTCTTGCCAAAGGTATGCCGATATTACAATTTAAAAACTGCAACATATCTCCACTCCTTCAGAGTGCAGGCACTGTACTTCCCACCTCCAGGACTCAAGTCTGGCTAACCACAGAATATGAATAATTATTCTTGAACCAATTCATAATGTTCTTTTATTTAGTGGTGTCATTAAAATTACTGGATATCTATTTGATCACATGACTATATTGGGAGAATTTTACTGCCACAGATGCGACTGATCAACAGTAATGGTGCATCATTTATCTCTTTCAGGGTCCGTGCCATAGTTCTACGGCAATGAGTTGAGGGTCCAAACCGTAGATCTACGCCATGAGCTCAGCTCACTCTGATAAGCTGTGAGCGGTAAATTTGGGCCTAGATATGAGAGAATACATCTATGTGGTATGTGTGCACCACATAAAACAAATCCTGCAGCACACAGTGCATAATGAGAGAAAAAACTGAGACTGTAATATTCGATTAAAACAGTGACTTTGCAGTGTTTTTTTATATGTTTTTTATAGTTGTATTTGCAATTTCTTGGTCTCATTTGATAGAATGGAAGATATATTACAGAAACAGAGATGATTTTGACTGGTTTTAGTACTGGAAATGGCTTGAAATTGAGCTCAAAGTAGCGGAAATGTTAAATTTTTGCCGATGATCAAGAGTAAACAAATGACCTCACACGTCTAATACATGCCAGTTGGTGGGGTCTAATATACGTTCGCAAATGAAGTGATATTATTTATACAATTATTACAAAATTGCATAACAGTAAATCTTCTATTTTTTGTTTGAATAAAAATTCATTATGTGAATAAAAAATCAAAATGAAATTCATTTGTAAAGCCTGAAAATGTAACTAATGAACAGAGGAAATATTAGTTTATGTGCCAGGAATGCCTGCATTGTTTATTCTGGACCCTGTTTTGAAATTGGAATATTTTGAACTTTGTGTTTAAATTGGCCAATTACCAATTTCCGATTACTTTATTTTGTAGTTGAAACAGTTGACTTGGTGATTTCTTGTGCTCAATCGACAGAATAGAAGTAATACTAGTGAAATAGCTAAGAATTTGGTCAACTGGAATAATGTAATGGCCTAAATGGGAGTCAAAGCTGGGGAAAATCCCGGG